GGACAAGTTAATCCTTTGGAAGTTTCTTTTTATTTTAAATTGAAGGGACACTGCTGATGTATTCAGTCATCTTCTTTGCTGTTAGAGAGCAGCAAAGATCTTTGGTTCTCTGGAACCAAATTGCTGTCTGCCAATTGCTACTGTCATGTAAAAGCAGATTTAAGCTTTTTTTTTTGTTGTTAATTTTATTATTCTTCCAGGCTCTTTTTTGCTTGAAGAAAATAGCCTGCACCATTAAACAGAGCAGACGGAATATAAAATAACTAAACATTGAACTAAATTTCTGTAATTTGCTGCTTTAAGCACTACACCTATTGAAAAGAAGGCAACTATTAAATTTCCTTCATTACTCTGAGATGTATACCCCTGCTTACATTCTAAGTTCTCCCTTAAAAGGTATTATATATGTTTCTCTCTCTGTACTGCAGTGATTCTTTTAAAACCTAAAGTAGTGTGAAAGTAAAATAACAAAATCCTTTTTCCTCAATCTTTTTTCTACTTTAAAGCATTTTGAAGTATGTAAGCATGCTATTTTGTACTTTGTCTTTAAATACACAATGAAACCTTTCCCAGCTGCAGAATGCTGTATGGCAGGAACTCTTCCCTCCTGGCCAGTGCTAGGGTGTTTTTTTCATGCCCACCATAATGTTAAGATGCACGTTTCCCCTTATTAACTACTGTTTGGTGGGATGGTTCCTCACAACCCACTTTTTTTACTTCGTTCTCCAACTACTTCCATCCAGTGGCAGATGCTCTGGTTTCATCACTAATATGTCTGGGACATTTCCATCTTTTCGGGCTTTTCTGGATGACTTTAGAAGTCAATACTTGATAATCTCTTCCAAGAATTGCAACTTTTCTGAATATTTACCCTGTCTAACACATCTAAGATTTTCCTGAGGCATCCTTCTCGAAGTTTTTAACATCTGTCTATAATTTTGTTAGAAATCCAATTTTCACAACCATAAATTAGAAGACAGAAATGCAAACTGAGCTGAAGTTTCATTGTTTGACTTAAGCTTGTGTATTTTTGATAACCAAACCTTATTTAAGTTACTGAATACAGCTGATGCCAAATTTTGACACTATGTACTTCTGGATATCCTCACTGGCTTCTACTGTTATGAATTGACTCATATTTGACTCATATTTCTTTGTCTTGTCACACAATGCTCAACTGGGAGTTACAGAGTTTCTTTGGATTTTTTTTTTTTTTTTAAAAGAGTGATCATTAATCTTTCCATTCTTGGAGTGTTGAATAACTTCATGTTTATTTCTTCCCGCAGCTTGAGCCACCACTTGAAAGACCTAATGTGAATCTTCAAGTACAGAGCTTACTAAGTCTCGCAATGTCTGTAAGAAACTGTGCCTTCATTTAACATAATTGTATGCATTGAACTATTTGTTCCAGCCTTTATTTATTCTAACTGTGCATGATGCATCTTGGTTTAACATCTTGATAATAATTTATGTTGCTATACTACAGCCAAAATGATCCACAGATGGAAAGCGTCAAACATTTTCTTAATAATGTTTATGGTAACTGGCTTTTAATACTGACCCTAGAAGATTCTGCACTGGCAGTCCTAAAGGCTAATGTTTCCTGTTCAACTAAAGAAAAAAGATGGAGAAGCCGATGAATGGTCTTGTGCTCAGAGCACACCAAGGACTCTGTAGACCCACATATGTCCCCACGTATCTCACCCATGAACTTAGAAAGTCACTTTTTCTTTCAGTTCTCCCACTGTGGAATGGTAATAATATAGCAGCGGTAAGGCTAGTTTAACTCATGTTCACAGAGCGCTCTGGCATTCTGAGACACAAAGCAGTATGTCATTATAACTATCACTATTCTGGTAAGATTAACCTTAAAATTTCCATTTTCACACTTACTTTTTCAGGGTTGTTAGTCTATTCTGAAAGACTTCAATCCTTTAGTCTCGAGTGCAGTCTAGACTCCATATTAGTTCAGTCCTTGATGTGCTTGCAGCCATTTCCCAAAGGTTGCCAGCTTCCCGGAGGCATGTTGCAATGACCATTCACCCATTTGCTAGAACCATCGCTGCATTCATGGATGGTACAACCTAACGATTGAGTTGTTATTACACACTTTCACTGCCTGTAAGCCTTTGCTTCTTCAGTGATCTCGACAATAATCTCATTTTTTCCTTTGCCTCTCCCCTGTTATTAGCAAAAGCCCATACCTTGATCTTTGTGTTTGGATAGAAAGCTGTGTCCTACTTGAAGTCCTATGATCCCTTGACTGCTTTTATACCTTGCTTTCTCACAGAAAGTAATAAAGATGGAAGGAATAAAGGAATAAAGACTTACATGTGAGAAGCTTGAAGATTTATTTTCTGTGTGACTAGGAAGCACCTGAAATTGCTTTCATCAATAAGCTCCCTTAATTAGTTAAATCTTGTACTGGTTCTTTATTCTTTATGTCACCACTTCAGTTACCAGTTCTGGAAGGATGAGCAATGTATTCACATTGCTTTTGTGTATCTGTCCACAAGAGGTCTCTCACTGCCTCATTTGCTGCAAAGTGCTGTGATTAATCCTACTAATTGAGTTACTAAATCACTCTGCCTGCTTCCTTGAAAGAGACAATGAAGATCCAAAAGATTTCCTATGCGACCTAAGCTAAATAAAAACGGACTGACTCAAAGAAAATGAGATTCAAGCCCACATGAGATGGGCTTAGTGTGAATGTAAAAGTTTGTTTACCACAGCAGGGCACAGATACATTGTATGTCTCAAGGTCATCAGATTTAAAACATATTCAACAAAAGAAATTATTAATTTTCCACTGATATTAGATCATAAATTATCTATGTCCATCATGGATCAAAGAGATTATCTACAAAGATACTCCTACAGCTACCTCACTATACTTATTAAGTGTAGGATATTCCTATTGGGGAGGGGGGTGCTCAGAACACGGCTCACAAAGGTTAAGTAACACTGACTGTGTTTATATCAGTAAATTAAACAGGGATAGAATATGGGCTCAGACATCGTCCCACAATAATCTGTAATGTTTAAATATTAGCAAGCTCTAATGGCAACTAACATCTTCTCAGACAATGCTGAAGCATATTTTGGGGTTAGCACAGGCCAGTGAGCATTCCCAACAGCCCTCATACACTGTGCTTTGCACGAGAAAGACATCAGTTACGTGACATAAGCTGTGCTGAGCCATTTATTCTCAGGCCAGAGATTAAGGCCCAGTCCATTTTGTTTAATAATACAGCTGTCACCACGAAAACCTGCCATCTTTAAAGAAACCTGGCCATTTTAAAAACACAACAACATTTACTCTTCTTCCTCATGCTGACAAGCCCACATAGGGAAACATCAGTCAATTGATCGGAAAGTGGGTTTCCTTGAACAGTTGCATTCTGGTTTAGAGTCGTCCCATGGCATGTGTTTAACATAGTGCTGCTGTTATAAAACTGTCTCTGGTAGCAAGCACTTGAATCTGTAGAGTACTCACCATCACAGCCCTTGTTCATCTGCTCATAGCCCTTCGAAGTACTGACACAGAGGGCTAAATATTTTTTCATGCCACATTCAGATTGGGGTGGGCAGGCTTCCTAACAGTAAAGGCTGCACAGAGGAATCTCCATGCCAGGAGCAGGGCATACCCTGGACATGGTCAAGAGGTGACATAGGTGCCCCTCTGGGGGACACACCGCTGTGGGACAAAATCATGCTGCACATGCAGACAATTTTGTGACAACCCAGCAATGCCAGCCCATCAGCATGTGTTACCTTTCTTCTGCTCACAGTGAGAACGTGGATTACTTCACAGTCCTGGAATTAACAGCATCCTACTGCCAGGAGTATGATCAAGATGGCATTTTGAAGAGACATGAAACTTGAGAGTCAGACATTATCTGCCATCTTCTACATAGTAGATTTTTAACTGAATGAACTAAAACATTCAGCTTCTTTGTGCAGGGGGAAGAATTAAAATCACTCTCATCTATTTTCATCATCACTGAAAGAAATCCTTAACAAGACCAGAGCTTTTCATGATTGGGTCATGGTCAAGGTCATGATCTTACTGGTGGAACATTCTTCCAAAAACACTCTGCAGAGTGGTACGACTATGTATGACTATGATCCCTTTCAAGAAATGAAAGACAGAGACAGTAATAAAGGCAAGGGCAGGGCACAGATTAACTAAAGATGCCAACAACAGGCATTTTTATTCTAATACCAAGTGCTATTACCACAAGCTTACAGATGTCTCCATTCAATTGTAAATCATAGTCATGTTAACTAAGGACACATACACAAACTGCAATTGTAAGTTTGCTGAAAGGATTAACTTCCTTTGGACCACCAATACTGAAAACCACTAAGTTTGACCTTAGGCCATGAAGCTCTAATAAAAACTAAAGTCTGAAACATGTCTGAGTTTCTCACCCATACCCTCCTACAGCACTGATGTCTTCTCTTTGTGCAAAAGTAGTTTCCTAGCCAATTACCCATTCAAGACTTTCTACCCTTTTGCATTCTATCCTCTGCCTCTGCTGAAATGTAACGAGACAGTCTGCTTCACTCCCTCAACGAGGAACCCTTTCTCTCAAAGACACACAAAGTGGACAGCCTTAACGAAGACACAAGGTATTAGGTGGGAAAAAGCTGTTTATGTGCATCAAACTGAGTATGGTGACCTTCACAGTCAACCCTTAATACCAATCTAGACAGTCAATACCATTTCTTAAAGATGAACAAGAGTAGCTCTGATGTCTCACCTTGAAGTATCCGGCTTCACAGGTGGAATTTTCACCAATATGCGAGTCACACTCCTCACGCACATTGGCAAATTCAATCCCATCTGAACAGTATTGCTTCTCCAACTCGCTGCGGCAGCACTGTACCTGAGTCATGCTGACAAAAAGATGGAAGCAACGGGAGAAGAATGTCATATATAGGTCAAAAACAGATAGCGCAAGTTTTGACGATTAGCACTTGTACTGCTCTCATGGAAAGAGGCTCCTGTGGGCACATATTTCAGTTACAAAGTAAAAATATTCTCTAGGAGTATGCAGAATGTCTAGGTGATATTTTAACACAGTTTAACTGCCTGTCTACCTTGCAGTCTGTCCTAACAATTTTTTGAAGCAAACTGATAACTTCAACAACATTTGCTGCAGGGCTCAAGGTCTCCAGGACTTGCACTCTTGCATGTTTTGTGACAGCTGGTGGCTGAAGAGAGGATGGCGAGCACCAAATTGGTGCTCTGACTGATGGAAGGGAGAAGTCAGGCCCTCGACATTGTGAGTCTGCAATCCCATGGCCAGTCTACCCTCGCACCTGCTGCCCCTTGCTCAAACAAGCAGGTATGGCACGTTGAGGGAGGCTCAGATTGTTGCTCTGTGAGACAACTGGAGATATGGGGAGAAGTGAAGATACTAAGGAAAGTCATCATGAGAAATAGAGTGTATTGCACGCAAGAGGCTAAGAAAGATAAGGGAGAGAAGAGTATTACAGGGCAGGAAGATGTGGAGAGGAGACAGGGAAAAATTCTGCAGGAAATTCAGCTTCGTTAGTCCCATTGCTCATAAAATCATTCATTCTATTTATTTCAGTTTCAGTGAATAAATTGAAAACTCTTTCCTGTGGAGAAAAAAAATCAGTGTGAGGAGGCTTTAAACTCCTCCACTCCTGTTGCTACTGCCACTTGAACGCAAAGCCCATTGAAGGAGATATCCCTCCTCTCTCCACTCTGTTTTTATGTGTAACTCTGCTTTGTTGGGTAGCATTGCGGGTGGAGCTTGCAGTTTAAAGCTCTTACACTGCTACCTCCTGTAACAGACACTGTCAAACAGAAAAAAGTTAAAGTAACAAATCAGATTATACACACAAGGATATAAACATATCCATGTGTTTCGTGATAACCCAATTTCACTAAGAATAATGTTAACTGAGTTGCTAGAGGGTAAGGAAACTATCCCAAAGGCAATCCAAGCTGCTAAATTCTGTTTATAGTGCAATAGGGGCACCTAAAAGGCATGCCCTGATATGTTAGAGCTCTATTAAGAAATGCACAGAAAAACCCTATAAATACACTTCTATACATTCAGCAAACCAATATTCTTTATTCTTAAAAATCCTTCGCTTAGACTGTTGGGAATTTTGGAAAGTATAAGGAAGAGGGGTGATTTAGTTGCACCACTGAGCTACAGGCTTCTCCTACTGTCATCTGAGATAAGTGGATTCCCATGAATCACCTCTGGAGTAGCTTCCCTGCTCTCGAAGATCACAGGATGAGCTTTCAGCTCCCAAGCAGCGTGTGGGACCCCCTCAGCTCTAAGGCCAGGACATCCAGGCCAGCCCACTAAAAGCAGGGGACATGTGGGCTACTGGGCTCAGAACCTGCATCTCCATGCATATTGGTGAGGCGAGGCTGTCAAGCTACATTCCTGAAGACTCCAGATTCTTATTTATTGGATTTTGTAATGATCTGACTGCGCAGTTCTCACTTGGACAAAAACAGCTATGAGATTTCAATGCACAGGAACAAAAGCCAGGATAAGTTAATGAACAAATTATGCTAAAATAGACTCTAAAGTCATAGCAAGAAGTTAAGACCCGGACAGTAACTTTATTTGGCAGAATATTTGAAGTTTTTGATATTTGATTTAGTTCCAGTTGGGAAGAATATGTAGCTTTTTTGTTGCTGAAATTCCCTCCGAAGCAGAATTTCCATTCCCTGCCCAGCTCTGGGGTGGTCTGACTGTCAGGACTTTGGAAGCCTGTAAAACCTGAACCTCAAGCCCAAGAGTGTGGGAGCTGAGACTTTCCAGCTCCTTTAGCCCTTCAAGTCCTGCTGAGGCACTAGATATGCTAGCCACAGACAAACAAACAAACAAACAACATCAGTCTTTCAGTAGATCTGTTTGATTTCCAGTGTGGCGCTTTTTTTTTTTTTTTTTTTTTTCCAAATACAAGTAGTCTCTTTGAAATTTCTAACAAATTGGCAATTTCAACCAAACCAAGAAAGTTTCTTAAAATGTTTCCCACAGCTGTATTCATAAGTCATGTGGCCCACCCCAACTGTAATAAGGAATTAAACATCAATTGAATACTAGATTAAAATACCATTTGTTCATTCTCAGAACAACAACAATAAAATCACACTTCATTGCCCAAATCCTACAGTGAAGTTGCACTGGTAGCAAATATTGCTTGAGACTGTAAACACTTGTGTGGCTATAACAGAGGTAGAAAACCTGGAAAGATGGCAGAGAAAAAAATCTAGAAAAATCTGGTCTTCCAGCTGCAAACTTAGCCTGTCCAGCTGACCATCCTTTTCCCTTTGCACACCAGCCCACCTGCTGATGGTCACTAGAGCACACCACCACAAGCTCTTCAGACTCCAAGACTTCCAAGATTAAGAGTTTCTCTCCCCATCTTTGCTAAGTTATGTGTGTCTCCCTGGCTTAGATCCTCATGTAATACATATCCACTTTCTACTTCACAGCAGAGTAAAGGAGCTATCTCTACTGGCTAACAGGACATCTAGATTTGTCTCTCTGTGTAAAACCTTTCAACTCTTCCTTTGTAGCATTATTATTAACTTCATGTCCACGAACAGCTTACAATATTAGTGTCTAAAAGAAGAGAAAGTAGAGGAGTACTTTCCTTTAGTTTTTTTTTTTTCATTACTCTTAACAATTAAAAAAGCCAAAGGCTACTTCTTCCTTATCTGACATATTCTGATTTTCAGTTAAAACAGTGCATCAGAACTTTATTGAAACAAATAGGTATTTACAACATGGCTGAAATATTAAAACACTAACCATGAAATCTCTAGGAGCATGAGGCCTCACAACTGACATTCACTCAGGATATTTCAGGTAAAATCACGCATTTCTGAAAGGTGAGTTTTATTCATGGCTCACTAGTAAACAGAAATCGCTCAGACATACAAAAAATCCTTCTTTGTTGCAGATGCTGATCTAAAATTAAAGTTATTTCATTACCAGGTAATTTGATTATAAATTAAGTTAAGAAATCTTGTTTTATATTCTCACTTTTACTTTCTGTTAAAATTTAACCAATGTTACTGATTTTCATGGAACAAATTTTGAGCTGAAAATCTATAAGCCCATTTACCTCTGCAATCTTTTCACATTCTCCTTCCCAGAGGATGCACTCCTAAACCAGCATAGATTTTGTAATCACTTATTTTTCCTTTCATTTCTTTCCATAGAAGCATTAAAATTTAACTTTGCTCTGAAAACAATGTCTTTGTTGTCAGCTTAATTTCATTGCCCTCTGCTTCTCTCCTTCTACTTATTAGCCCATCTCCAAACTATGTCAGTGCTATTCATATGCACAGTGGAAGGTCTTGGACAAATAACTTTAAAATTAAAAAGCGAATGATTCCACTCCACAATTATTTTGCAAGAACGAACTGGATCTTCCACCCTTAGTCCTTTCAGTTTGCAGTTTAACATGCAACAGAAACAAACTTAGGAAGATTAAGAGCAAGAGCAAGATCTGGTATTATGAGTGACACAATATGACAAATGATAATAATAGAGTGCCTCAACAATGAAAATACATATATTTGATCACGTGTTATAAACTATCAAAGGACTCACAAAAATAATTGATTCAACAAACCTCAAAATTAATCACCTGCAATCCGTAAACAACTTTGTAGACTACATAATAAAAGTTTTCTTGAAGATAAAGGGTAAAATTATATTGATATATTATGTAGAGAAACAATACTTATAATGTTGCGTCAGAGAAGGTCCGAGTTTGACATTACTCACAAAGTGAAGTAAGTTATCCTAAATGAGTGGCAATAAAACTCTGACAACATAGCAGACTGTTCTTCTATCCCTCTGACTGTGAAGCCAAAAAATCATAGTGATTTTGAGGCACACTTAGCAGGCTACAGAGAAGAGATAACAATTAATAAAGACAACTTCTCCAAAAATAACTTTAAACAGCTTTTTCAGACGTAAATCTGTCACAACTTTGATGTCCAAAATCTCAGGCTCTTCCAGACTTACAATGGCATAAATCAATAAACATCTATCAGCAGTTAAGCATCTGGTGCCTATCACTCCAAACATTCTTGTCTTATTACTTCCTTGTGTTCCCATCTGAGTACGTATCCAAGTGCTGCCACTTGTCTCTGCTTGGGAACACTGATCATCTTTTTGTTCTGTTTTTGCACAGTTCCTAGCAGAGTGTTCTGCAGTGTCTTCTTTTATGCATTCTTGCAACAGTAATAATAAATAATGTTATTCCCAATGTAACTCCAAAAAGACGTTACACAGTGCTAAAGGCATGCAATTCTCATATGGAGATATGCTGTTTCTGGCCCAGGAATTAAGTTCACTTGCTAAGAGCTCTGGGCAGGGGAAACCCTTCATTTTGAAAGGAAAAGATTTATTGGGCAGGTTAAGTTCCAAAAATAAATGGCAGCTGTTTCCAGCTCCTGTGAGTTTAACCACAAGAAAATGGATGAACGGGCAAAAAGCTGCTGTTGTAACAGCCAAAGATATTATTCATTAAAACACCACACTCATATTTACTGAGTCATGAAGACACAGAGAAAAGTACTGTCATTGTCCAAGGTGATAATACAATGAAGTATACTCACTTGTGGGATAAGCAACTACAGTAAGAGATTGCAGATATGACTAGACATTGAGCCCTGAGCCTTGTTTCAACTTAAATGCAACTGAGTAACAGTAGCCAGTCAGATCTTATGAATTCACGTGAACTTCAGACAGGGGTTCACCTGTGGTGTAGGACAAGAAAGTGAGTACATCTGCAGTTTGAACTGTGCCATATTCAGCAAGTGACACTCACACAGATAGCAAGTCCTCCAATAACCACAAGAGACTTTGGGGAAGGATCCTAACTAAAAAGATGCTGAAACCCAGAACTGTCAGCTTGTTTCTAGGATGCACGGCAGATATGAGAATGTCTGCGCTTGCGTGGAAACCCTTTTTGATTACTATGAATGTGCTTTAAATGCTTGGAAAAAGATCAAGGGGGATGCAATTCTAATTCAATAAAGCAGCTTGTCCTCACACAAACAAAAGAAAAGCAAAAGAGACTCCAGCAGAGGGCTTGCTTTGAGGGAAGGACTGAATCTGGATGCCGTTATGTTATTACTATTCTAAGCAGAGGATTGAAAAACAGCATGTAAGTTCTGGTAAAGCATGTTGGGGAAAGTACTCACATCCAATCTGTTCTGTGTTGCATGGTCTTTGCAAAGTAACTGCACGAGATCATCTTTACTTCAGTAACTTCATCAAATCTCCTCACTTCACAATTTTTCCCTTGCATTCAACTGCTAACTTTGCAAACTCAAGCTGAAATATGCAGGGCAAACAGCTCCATCTGGCATGAAGTAATATGGGTTTGTACACCTGAGAGGCCATGTTTTTTGAGATTGCTCAAAGTCAGATGATCTACACTGTCCAACAATTTGCTACAGTAGGCAGTCAGAAGATCCCAGCTGGCATTTAAACAACCACATAAATGATAGGTGTGTGTCCCCCAGCAGCTCCTACTGCATGTAGGTGTCTAAATAGGAAGCAAGTTCTTTTGAAAACCTGTAACCAATAAGGCATCTTGTGCCATATTCTCACCTGCCTAGACTTCAGCAAGCGCAACAAATCTGGTTTTGCTCACATCTCTGTGCAATATGAATAAATGTGCAAAATCGGTGTCATTACCCTCACGTGCTTGCCAAGGGAATCATGCTCCCTCACTGTTCATTCTGGCTCCAGTTACACAAGCAATTAGGAGTACAATTTGGTCCTTACTTTTATGTCTGAAACGGCATCAAAAAGCGATTTTTCTGTACCTCTCACAGATATGTCAGTTTGCAATCATAACTGAAGTAAAATAATATTGCCATTAAAAAAAGCAAAGGTGCCGATTTTACTTAGCCATTTTTAGAGTGAAGCCAAGCTTCAGGGGCAGCTATGTTTAATTATTGTACAGTCATGACTGCACTGAACTGCATTTATCCACTTTTTTTTGTCAATTAAGTGCTCACACCTCTCACAGAATACATGTCTTTACCCATTTCTGCCTTCACCCATTTCTGCCTTAACCATTACATCATTATAATTTTCTTAATTATATATCAGTTATGCACAAAAGCTAGATGAAGTATTAGTAAGTTTTTTTCAGTTCCTATGAAGTGCTAAAGACTCTCTAAAACAATCATCTTTAAAAGACTAAATTACATATACAACAGAATTGCAACTGACATTAATCAAATGATCATTAAATCATCAAGATTCTCACTCTCAGATTGTTCAATAAACTTGGTTTCCTGTTTTTCCTGCCTCTGTTTTGTCTATAACTCTTCTGACTCTTCAAGTATTTCCTAAATTGGGATTTAAGTCCTATCTGTCAATTCTTCTTCTAAGAGACTGCTTTCAATGCCAATATAAACGCAAAAGTCAGAAAATATGGACAGACTTGCCTGCAAGTCACATTCTTTCCATAATAAAGATCAATCCAACACTTCTGCAATTACCAAGGTTAAATCACTTTGCAACCCATTTGAAAAGATAGAGGAGAGCAATGTAATGCACTTTAAATACAGTGTCCTCTGTGAAACTGCCCCTCAAACTATCAATCACAAACCATTAGCTCCATAACTTAAATGTAACAAGTGCATTTAACAGCAAAAATAATGCAAACTATCACTGAGAGAAAAAAAAACAAAAATGCCCCAACCATATAAGAGATTTGGTATAACCAAAATATTACTATGCAAATAACTACCATTTACATTCATTATTTCATTTGCTAGATTACATAATAGAAATTAGTATCCCATTAAATGTCAGTAGAATTGAGAAATCTAACTAAAGGTTACTATTTTCTATGGTCAAGTACATTTGACAGAAGTCAGACACTTTACATAAGTAGGAATGTCTTTGACTTAATCTTTAAGTTCCCACACACAGCAATTCAACTAAGAACTGCAGGACAATCATCTTTCTGGCAGGAGAAACAGTTTTAAAAGCCTGTCTCACATACATACATATGTACGTATTCAGTTCATAGATTATTCATGTACAGGATCTGTTGTGTGTCTTGATAAACTTTTGCCCAAGAATTTGAACCATTGCTGGTCTAGATTCACAATAAGTATAAACTGAAGAGCCTTTGCTGACATTAGTGGAGCCATACTGAGATGTACTGACTGTAGGCAGAGTCCAAGCCCTGTGAGTAGAGCACAGTGGAAAAACTTATGACTAAGAGACAGCACATGTCAAACAGATTAGAGCTGGGTGACTACACTAGACCAACAGCAAAAATTTAAAGGACTTAATGGAAGAAAAGTAGGTGCTCAAGAGGTACTCCCCAAAGCTAGATGTGGATTTAAAAACTTGGATTTAAGAGCTGGGTGCTTCATCTTCTAAATCAGCTTCCATACCTGCCATTCCCACTGTTTTACGTGAAAATACAAACTATAGTTTAGTATATAATACATAACTATATACCTGCATTCTTTGGACTCGGATATCAATGGTAGAGAAGCACATATTCTGTTTTTATTTGCCCATTCAATACCCTTGTCACAGCATTCTTCCATTGAAAGATCTGCAGAAATAAGAAAAGAAAAACACAACAATATATTTAATGCAACTTTAGTAAACGGTATTGCATCTGCCAGATAAAAAAATGAAACAAAACAAAAGAGAGGTTTCCCCTTCCTAATCTACACACAGAGTAGTGCACCCATTCAAAAGGCAGCCATGACCAAATGAAGCACCCGTTAGGACCTTGCAATAAGCCCAAGTGCTGGAGGTATTCCTTCCTCAGTGAAGCAAACTGCAGTTTCCCTTAATCTTCCTCATAAAGGCACAGCCTAGGGACTGACACTCCAGCAGAAAACAGTTCAGACAGTCTTGCACAATAAAAGGATCTGTCAGATTGCACTCCTTTATCTCAAAAGAAACAGTAGCAATAAGCACCCCTTTAAAATCCTGAAGAATACAGGAAACTCAAATAACTGTCTGATATGAAAGACAGATAAACTTCATTACAAGTTAACTTGCAGAACTGTTTTTTCCTGAGGTTATTATCCAATTAATCTGTTTTACTCAAAAGTATGTCTGTAAATGCAAAAGTATTGTACAGAGAGACAGAAAGGTATACAGTATTTTGATCACTTAACACATGAAAGAAAATTTAATACAGATACCAACTTACACTAACCCTGAAACTAAGGGGAAAAGCATACTGAAGATAATTATTTGTGCAGACTATGATTTTCTGCAAAAGTCTCTAATTTAATAAAACTAAATACTGTTATTGAACTGACAAGCACTACAGGTGTGTTTCATATTCCAAGTGCAAAAGTTCACTGCACAGCAGGTGTATCAGAACTTGGAATAAAACATGAGTCACATTTTCCTATTAATTATCTTGTAGTCCAGACACTGAACAGCTCCTTGTACAAATACGTAATCTGTGTAAAAAACCCATCTGATTAGGAGGGACAGCTTTCTAATGTTTTTTCTTTGTTCCATAAGTTTTTTGACTAATGCCCCTGACAGGCTGCACCCACGAGTGCTGAGGGAGCTGGCTGATGCCATTGCCAGGCTACTCACAATTTGTCTTTGACAGGTCATGATGAACAAGAGAAGTTCCTGAAGAATGGAAGAGAACAAATGCCTACTTGTCTTCAAGAAGGACAAGAGAGAAGATCTGGGAAACTACAGACGGGTCAACCTCTTCTCACTGTCTGGGAAGGTGACAGAGAAAAATCCTCCTGGAAACAATGTCCAAATACATGAAGGACAAAAAGGTCATCAGGAGAAATCAGCTTGGATTTATGAAGGGGATATCATGCTTAACTAACGTCGTAGCCTTCTACAATGAGGTGGCTAACTTGGTGGATGAGCAGCCAGCAGTGGATGTTGTTTACCTTGACAGGAGTAAGGCTTTTAACACTGCCTCCCATAACATTGTAAGTGGGCAGTGAGGTGGGCACCGGCATGCAGTTCACCCTCAACAAGTTCACAGATGACCCAAATCTGGGAGGACTGGCTGATGCACCAGATGGTTGTGCTGCCATCCAGAGGGACCTCATCATGCTGGAGAAACAGGCTGACAGGAACCTTATGAAGTTCAGTAAAAGGAAATGCAAAGTCATGCATCTGGGGAGGAACAAGCCCGATGCACCAGTACACGCTGAGGTCTTACCAGCTGGAAAACAGCTCTGCAAAGAAGGACCTAGGTGTCCTGGTGGACACCAAGCTACTCATAAGCCAACAACACGCTTTGCAGCAAAGAAGGCCAACACCACCTTGGACTGTGTTAGACAAAGCATTGGCAGCAGGTCGAGGTAGGTGATCCTTCCCCTCTGCTCAGCACTAAGGAAGCCACATCTGACATGCTGTGTCCAGTCCTGGGCTCCTCAGTTCAAGAAACATATGGACTTACTGTACTGAGTGCAGTGTAGGGCCACCAAGATGATTTATGTGCTGAAGTATCTTTTGCATGAGGCGAGACTGAGAGAGCTGGGACTGTTCAGCCTTGAGAAAAAAAGGCTCAGGGGGGAACTGATTGATGTTTATAAATATCTGATGGGAGGAGACGAAGAAGAGGAAGGGTAGACTCCTCTCAATAGTGTCCACTGTCAACACAAGAGGCAATTGACACAAATTATATCACATGAAGTTCCATCTGAACACAAGAAAACACTTTACTGTGAGAGTGTTCAAACACTGGACGATCTCAAGAGGGCTCTTCCAACCTACGTGATTCTGTGACTGATTACTTAACGAAAAATAAATAAGACCCTTTCATCTGTAGGTTGCTGTACTGCACAGAGGAAGGCAAATCTTATTTACTTCTTTCTGATGGAGAAGCTGAAGTACAGAAGGATGAAATGACTTGCTCCAATTACAGAGCAAGCTGCTGGCAGAACAGGGAGTGCACACCAGGTCATTCCCAGATCATTTCTCTCCACTGGATCATACAATGCCTCACATGATTGTCTCATTCTTAATTTTGCTCCAGGCACATCTAAAGGGTGCAAAATTCAGTAAGCAACAGTATTATGTCCAAGGCTATCCATCTTCACAAATTATTTCCTTCAGTCTGGTAAGGACAAGCACCTGTCTCCTCTGGCTCTCCCAATACCAGTTACAAAGCCATCATTCCCCAGGCACTCCTGATGTAGGGGGGTTACAGCCTCCTTCCATCTGTCCATGTATCCACCTCCCAGTGTGCTGCAGTTATCAAAATAGGCAGAAATATTATTTAACCTGTTCATGATCGCACTTACTTTGACACACACCAGACAGAGTTCACACAAGTAACTCAACTGGCAGATCTTTATATGTGGGAAAGTAAAAAGCAGCTGAAAGCAAATAGAGAAGATATAACGCCCTCCAGTAACTCAGTTGTTTGCATGGAACAACCTCTATTCCCCACTAATGATTATAATCTGACAATTCAAAGCAAAAAAAAAAGGAAAGAGTAAATGAAATTTTAGGATGAATCAGTCATCTTAAGGTAGGTACTCTTAAGGCAGTTATCAATTCTACGCTGCAAAGCTCTGGAGTACTGAGCATAGTTCTGGCTATCTCTCTTCAGGAAAGATTACATCAAAATGGAAAATGTGTAAAGAAAGGCTAGGAGGATGGCCAAGGGAATCAAAGCCCCATTATATGAAGAGAAACTGGAAGAAATAGACCATTGTAAGCCCAGATAAGCAAAGCCTGTGAAAGGATGTGGTTCCTGTCAACAAATATTACAGCAGTAAACAATAATCAGAATTATGGGATCAAGTAAACTAAACATTTTTTAACTAGAGAATCATTATACTCATAAACAGAACTACATTAAAGGTTAGTTTATAACAGAGCTGTGTACTTTGTAACCCAGGTCACCCTTCTAGTCTTACATACCCAAAATAATGGTCAAAATTCTGTCATTATGAAGTCAAGGCAATATTTCTTTTGAATTCCTCAGTGTGTTCAGAATTCATGCCAGTGTCTGAAAGCCAATTGTAGTTTATAATGCTACAGAAAAAATCAGTCTTGTAAATAAATATCTGTCTGTGGTGAAAGACATGAATTTGTGTCTGATCTCTTGTTTGGGAATAGGGACCCTGTCTGGTGCTCTCTGTCTGCCAGTGTATTGCTAACAAACATTATACGCATCAAATTTCATACAATGTGTTACAAATAACCATATTTTTAGTGCTGTTGTCTGCAATCAATCTTAACTGTGTTGAAAAATGATACACATTTAACTGAAGTGCAGAGCTGGCTGCAGGTTTTTGCAGGGCTTTGTACAAATGGGTCTTTGGCCAAGTTCCTCCCTAGAAGGACAATCCCTGGCTCAGGACACCAGTTCTTCCCTCCCAGCTCTGGCAACACACCTCTACTCCAACCAAATAACTCAAGAATTCAAATGAGGCCGAGCTAAGCAAGCTCATCTGTAGGAGTGCATCCAGACAAAGAAGGATTTCAGATAGTTTGTTGAGGGAGAATTGTGGTTGAGGCTCATTGTTTTGGTGACATCACAATTCACATCCTCCAAAGATCCTGCCAAAAATCTCTTGAGAATAGAGGGAAGTCAAAAACAAGCAGTAAAAAAAGGACTCCACCCTAAAGGCCATTCTTCTAAAACATAACAATAAAATAGTGAAAAACATTTTCTCTAGCTTGGCTTTGCAGTTTGCTTTTAAAATTGGTCATTTGTGGACAAATCTCTACTCTTTCAAAATCCCAGAAAGTGTGTGTCTCACACTTCGGGTGTCATCTCCCAATTGCACTGGAATCGATTCTATTTTGGCATTAAGGGTTGTTAATGAGTATTTAGAAACAGGACAGACTAATTGTCTCATAACTGTATTTTGCCAGTCCTGCGGATTCAACTGTACATGTGCATATTCATGTGGCTCCCAGATGGACATCTTTGGGCAAGCAGTTCATACTGAGGCCATTTGTGCCTCTGTACACCCACTTCAGGGGACCAACAGCTTGGGGGGGCCATGGCCTTTCTTCAGTTTCTCATAACTAGAAGGTCGTAATGCAGGGCATCTGAAAGGAAGGGCTAGTAGGAACCAGATGGTAAAAACTACTTTCAATTATAACATCTCAAAGAATATCACTTACTGCACAGAAAGCGATGGTTCTGTTTTCGCTGAATGTGACCATGTGCCTTTTACTGCAGTTGATGGGCTCACGGCAACCCTCAGAGCTGGAGTGCCAAAGATGATCAAATAGGAATTACAGCACTGCTCGTCTGAACCTGGTGCCCCTTCAACTGTCTTGCCAAGTGTTTGCATGTCTCATGCAAATCAGCCAGAGAAATCTCAGGCATCAGAGTCAAAACACTTCTGGGAAAGGCTGATAATACTGTCTATGTTCAGCTGAAATATGCCCTTTTATTTGGAGGAAGAAACCCTACAGGAAAGTTATAACATGCAGGACTACACTGTCTGGTCCATTTTGTAAGTTTGTGAAGTAATTGTTCAGCTTTTTGGTATGAGGAGACAGAAAAATATGAAGATAAACAAGAGATCTGTTAGGATGGTAGCACGTTTACTTCCTTTTAACTCACATATAACAATTTTGCGTGCTAATTGACTAATTGATAAAGTCTATTTTGGATAAAATCAAACTGAGCGTTATCACTACTTTGCGCCTATAAAAAATGTGTGCAGCAGGGCATCCAAAAGAATTTGAGTTGTGTTAGTGTAACAGTGAGGATGCCTGTCCTGATGCTACCCAGGATATAAAGAAGGTTGAGGTGCTCAGCAACTTCTTTGCCACAGTCTTTGCTCCAGTCACACCGCCCAAGTCACAGAAGGCAAAGGCAGGGGCTGGAAGAATGAAGAAACCACCCACTATAGGAGAAGATCAGTTTGAGAACATCTAAGGAACCTGAAGGTGCACAAGTCCATGGGACCTGATGTGATGCATCCACAGGTCCTGAGGGAACTGGCAGATGAAGTTGCTAAGCCACTATCCATCAAATATGAGAAG